TATATATATATATATAAAGATATGTATTTTATAACCAAATACTTAATACGCTGCTTTTTTTAATGTAAAACAGCAAATGATGGTAAAAACAAAGCCGCAATAATCATAATATGATGTACTTCAGCATTATTCTCATATTTGTTAAAAACTCGCACGAATACATTTTCTCATTCAGTTATTTTTAAATGCTTAAATTCTAAATAAAACTGAAAATTACGAAAAAGATATCATTAGAGATTTTGAATACGTGAAAGAATGCTAAATCAAACGTCAAATGATAATCGCGAAATGAAGAGAGACTTTTGCTGAACGACACGATGTACATAGTATGTATTATAGCTCAAAACGCAGATGTAAGCAATCCTCTCTTGAACTTAATAAATAATGACAATATATGAACGTAAAAAAAGCATTTGTCACTTGAATTGTTGTCGTTTATGTTTATTTATTGATGTGCAAAATTGGACATGCAATTTTATTGCGCAGCAACAGCAGAAGCAGTAGCGCAGCAATAATAATTGCATATATATTATATGTCGATGAAAGAGATAATAAAAACGACATGCACAATACAATAGTTCAATATAATGTAAAGATTTTAATTTCAATACAATATAGTAAAATTACGTTATTTTAATCATCAATAATAAATAATCCATTGATTTTGATTAAAAATAAGGATAAAGCTTTGAGAAAAAAATATATTACCAGGAAAAATATTCTTCCTATACAATAATGCATAAAAATAATAATCAAAGTAATTCAAAACCCTGAAATTGAAATGATTAGTATCGGGGAAATTCAAAAAACAGATCATGCGATTAAATACAGCACAGTCATCATTCGCTGTACATAATACTGATTGATTTAATCTCAAAACGTTGAAATAATTTATGATATAATTTTTGACATAAATTTGGGCGTATTGATTTTAAACGTGATAAATTAACTCGTACGCGCGCGAGATAACACGCAATTCAAAAAATCTTGAATTGCGAATTAAAAAAGGTAATACAATTTCGGCCGTTTACGCGGCAAACGTTCCCGCTAAAAAAAAAGTGCGGGAATACTAATATCGATATTACGATTCTGTTGTTGCATTGCATGTCGATTTTTTCGGATACTCATTGTGAGATAAATGCTAAATATATAGCAGAAAAATGAGCACAAAAACAGACACATTGATTTTATTTTTCGCATCTCTCGATCATTCATTCTAATTTTGCTAATCGCGAAAACGAGAAACTACTCGCGCGTAAATCGCGGATCACATTTAGTGAATTCTGTTCGTAATATATGATGTGATATCGAATTGAATTTAACGCGATAACGATTCACAAAGCGATCTAATGACATGTAAATGTAAGAAATTATATCTGGTATCTTAATTTTTTAACGATATGCAACATTTATGAAAAGTACGGGATATGAATATGGCGTCGTTATCGCAGGCGCGGAGAGAGAGACATTTATTCACTTATTGTTAGATAAAAATTAATGAAAAGGATTTACTTGATTACTACTATTACGCAAAATATTGCGTCCCATCCTGATTCTTGATTCCGTAGTTCAGCGGGCACAAGAAAAAACACACACACAGTACTTACTTGAAAATAAATCACTCGGCCACTTTGTTCATGATATGATGCGATCGGCGGTTCGAGTTTAACTGACTTCAAATTCAAGGGGGCGTCTCGGTCTCATGCGCGCCATTCACGAGTCCGAAGATAGCCGAGGAAGCAGGCAAGCAACATACAAGTGAGAAAAATGATCAAAGGGTGCCATCTTGGGTGAGGAAAATTTATCTAAATGAAAAAGACGGGATAGCATGATTGGCTACGCCATATTGTCATCACTTTTTAATACAGACTATGTTCGGGAATTATGCCAATCTGCTAGCAGCATGTTGTCATTCTTGTTCACCGAATATTAGCAGTTAATTCCGGAACACAGCCAAAGTGAAGATTTTGAATACGTGAAAGAATGCTAAATCAAACTATAGTTTCTGCTGATGTAGAAAAGAAAGATCAATCGTATGAGCCTTTACCTTTTTTTCTATGTTTATTTAATTAATGTACAAAACTGGGCACATAGTTTGTCTCGCAACAAGAGCGCGATGGTAATCGTTGGTGCATTTATACATTATGTCGAAAACGGTGAAATAGATAATCGAATATACACGCGTAATGTAAAAATCCGACGATGAAAGATAATCTATGAGAATTTAACAACTTTATTTGGATAATTATTTATGTAGCATGCCCAGCTTTTATATACGATTTTACACCGCTGCTATTACTAAAATACTTATATAAATGTGCGTCCCTTCATTTGTTTGTTTATAGCGCACAGACACGACGATAGGAGTTCTTAAATAAAGTAGCTTTTATTATAAGAGAAAAATACATATAGATTTATATAGATAATATCCGTACATACTGTGTGCTGTACAAACAAAGTGAATTTTATGTAAAAACACATATGAAAACTCCGTGTTTTTTTTTAATAGCGATGTTAAATCTTTTCTGCAGGTACGACCTTGTAATTCATTATGAAAAAATCTTTGTAACGTTAACTTTGTAAAATACTATCGCTCCTTCGTAATAAGTATACCCAGTATTTTTGTTCAAACTCGAACGGTTATTCGGAACGATCTCTATACGTTAAATAATTACACAACAGACATTTTATTTTGTTTCGTATTTTTCTAATTGATATCGAGAATAGGTATAAATGTGAGTCAAAGTGGTACCGTATCAAAATATATAATCGTATAAAAAAAATTTTTTTAAATATTTGGTCTCAGAGCATAATCATTTACGGTAACTTTCATTGCTAGATCGTGCGTCAAGTTCTACATTAGATTCCTAATGTAAAATTTAGATTCCTAAAGTTAGCAAATAAAAAAATATTTTATCGAAAATACATTATCTTTATGCTTTTTAGTTACGATTGGTGACGCGCAAAGAGACTCGAAAAATATAAAGAGGCACTTTGCTCCATACTTGTTTTCTGCTTGAAAAAAAGAAAAAGTATTTTAATTTAGCCTATTGTGTACGTAAAGCGTAAATATTTTATCACATATCTTATAGGCGAATATACGCTGACAGTAGTAGATAAATAAGAACGTTGTTGCGTATTAAGAAGTTTCCCACCCGAAACGGTGTTGATGTTCGCGATGCTCCATTTTTATACGCTGTAGCCTCTGCGTTCGGCGTTCCTTATCGAATTCGCCAAACATAGCGCGAAGATGATGCCGATCAGCTGAGAAAAAATTGAATAACACACACATATAATAACTGTAAAATATTTATATGCGCGAAAGCAAACGAAAAAATTGAAGAGAGCAAAAAATTTATATATATTTGAATACTTGAATGATAAGGAACTTTTTCGAGTTTAGATAGATGTAAAATTATTATCTTTTATCGCATCTCTCTTTCAGTTATCATTAAGAAGCTGCTTTCGTATAATTGCTGAAAACTTTCTAAATTTTGACGCAAAACTTTGCGGATGCAAAAAAGCACTTCTAGTTTTATGAAGTTATGAAATATTTTATGCCTCTTTATACATATATGTATATAAGACAAAATATTATAGCAATTTTTTTAGTTTCCAAAATGTTCAATTTAGAACATTCTTACATAGTATTGTATTTTGTGAAATCTTTAATTTCATGCTAAATTTTAATATTTGGACTTAATTTACTCGAAAAATTTTACATTGTTACAAGAAATTTGATAAATAAAAAAGTATAAAGAAAATTTATTATCACATAAAATATCACTTTTATATTTTAAATGTAATGCCGCGGAATATGTGTGATGAAAATTCTATTATACGCTGAAACTTTTATTAATAATCGAAAACAATAACGTACATTCGATCGTCGTAAATTTATTGGCAATAAAGCCTCACAGCACGAGTAATTACAAGTTACACGATTGTGCAGATATATTAAAGTGCTCCAGTTCAGTCTACTGAAAATATAGAGATAAGATTTTTCTTTCTAACAAAGTTTCAGAAAAAGAAAATTAGTTTATGAAGGTAATTTTACAAGCGAGTGTAACTATGTTTTCATAGGCATAAGATGTGAAAACAACGTATCAAATGTTATATTTAAATTTTAGATAATCTCTTTGATATATATATATATATATATATAATAATTTTATAGTTTTATTTAATCTCTTTACAAGCTTGCGCGTGGAACTTATTTACCTCGATTCCAGCGATACCCAGAGCAATGCCACCTAATACCGCGCATGCCTGTTTAAAGAGGTCTTTTAGCGCGATTACGCAACCCTTGTTGTAAGCTTCATATTGGGAACATGTTGCATTTACATCTTTACCGCAGCAACTTCCCGGAATAGAAATTTTAAGAACTTTGTTAAAATCTGCAGAACTGTCAACGCCACAGCATTCCAACTGTAAAAATTCATTTTACATAGAAATATTGATTATTTATAAATCCAAACACGTATCTATCTATTTAAACTATTTTCGATGTTATATGCAGTTATTATATTCAAGATCTCTAATAGTATTTTACTCAACTACGGCTTAGAGAGCCGAAAATTCGAATAATAACGCAACATAATATATTGTTTTATATGCAAAAGACTATTATTTCAAAGGGCCATCTTACTTCTTTCTGTATTAAATCTACAAACTCCTTCTGTGGTTTCTCTGGGTCCTTGTAATGGTTGAAGATTTTGAGCGCGTATTCATCCTCAAACTTGATTTCATCGGCATTCTTCAGTACGACAAACGTATAGATCGCGACAGCCACTTGTATGATCAGGATCGTTAAAAGTAAAGATGCAAACTGCGTAGAAAATATATCAGATAAAATTTTTTAAGAACTTTGTTAAAATCTGCAGAACTGTCAACGCCACAGCATTCCAACTGTAAAAATTCATTTTACATAGAAATATTGATTATTTATAAATCCAAACACGTATCTATCTATTTAAACTATTTTCGATGTTATATGCAGTTATTATATTCAAGATCTCTAATAGTATTTTACTCAACTACGGCTTAGAGAGCCGAAAATTCGAATAATAACGCAACATAATATATTGTTTTATATGCAAAAGACTATTATTTCAAAGGGCCATCTTACTTCTTTCTGTATTAAATCTACAAACTCCTTCTGTGGTTTCTCTGGGTCCTTGTAATGGTTGAAGATTTTGAGCGCGTATTCATCCTCAAACTTGATTTCATCGGCATTCTTCAGTACGACAAACGTATAGATCGCGACAGCCACTTGTATGATCAGGATCGTTAAAAGTAAAGATGCAAACTGCGTAGAAAATATATCAGATAAAATTTTCGTGTGTTAAATGACTGTGCTGTTTGATTCCAGCATAATAATCGTAAATGCGTAATGTAATTATTTGAGAAATATACTGTTAACAATGCGATAAACTCATACGAACATATCTTTATAGTAAATATAATAAATTTGTCTTCACGCGTGTTTCAATTCTTCACGCTTTAATTTCATAAATACGTTTGTTTCAGTTCTATAATATTTTCAAATTGATAAATGTATTAAATTTGATGTTCCACTTTTGTTTAATATTTAAATTAAAATGCACTTAATGCATTACAGATAAGTTTGTGCATTGCACGTAAAAACAAATCAAGATTGAAATTGCTGGAAGATTTACCGTGACGATCATGCAGTGGCTCTCGCGAATCGCTCCGCAGCATCCGAAGAAGGCAATGACAAAGATGATGCTGCCGATGACGATCATTGTTATCGATGGGAACACAAGATCACCAGTAATCTCTTTCATCTCTTCGGCATACTTTTGACCTCCTACACGCACTAAAACGCCCACAACCAAGATAGCCAGACCGCATAGCTGCAATAAGATATTTCGTATCACATACACACATATATCATCATCATATATCACCAATATCTTTCTGTTTTATATAATTTAAACTACTTTGTTTTCTATTACTTTTTTGCCATTATTAACATAATTTCATAATACACTTTATTTTGTTAATAAAGCTTATAATGTCTTTCTCGCCATATAGGACGAGGATGATTATTTCACGATTTTCTTTTTTATATGGAAATGAATGATAATGATCCGCAGCGTATATATAAAAATCACAGAATATGCCATGTGTTATTACATTAAAAATATATGACAATGTAAATTATTACAGATATCACATAAAAGTTACAACAATATATCACAAAAATCATAATATATTATAAATATAAAACTGGAGATCAATATATATATATATATTCGCGAATGTAAAATTTTTTTTCTAAGCAATTTCCAATATACTTGCATGTATTTATGCAAGATTTTTGATTTCGTTACTACTTAAATATATGATCATTAATAGAAAATCAATCAGTCAAATCACGTACAATATATTTTAGAGCGAGTTTGGCCACTCGATTGCTAATAAGCTGTTATTGCCAAGTTCAACATTGTTGCCCAATAATATAGGATAGAAATAGATAGAATATATAAATGAACGTACATTTACTAACATTTACGTTAAACGTCCCCGATATCTGGAAATCGTCCTTGAAACATTGCCTATGCGTTATTTTTACGTATTGCTATGCTATATAATGTGGTCGATCTTGAGATCGCCACAGGTGGACTAATACACTTATTCAAGACGTAAGTGAAACGCAGACGCTCTAACATAAGTGCGTTCGTCCGATCGATCGATTCAACATCTTTAATAATTTCCGTCCTAGTTTCAGAATAATCAGAACTCTATTGTAAAGTACATCGTGTATAAAATGACGCATGAAAAAGCACAGCTCAAGTAAAAAGGAGAATTCTCAGAATAGTGATGATGTCAACTGGGATTTTATTAGTGATCAACTAAAAAAAAGCGATAATAATGGTCAATTAATCGCTTTCGTTACAATTTTAATTATTTTTGGTTTTATTTCAGGACTCACTGACGATTGTACATTTGGTTGGGAATACTGCTGCAGAGAATATGATTTTTATTGTCGCAGGACATCGAAATTACGTGCATTGAATCAGTGTGAGTGACAACATGTGTGTATACGTTATACACACGTGTGCGCTGAGATGACATCATCGTATTCATTCTCGGAGAATCAACTTCCTTCGAGATTACGCATGCTTGGCGACGCCGGTGTGTCTCCGTTTCCACGGAAACAACTCGTATTTCCATATTTTCTTTGCAACTGCCCCAATTTCGAGATGATCGTTTAATACAAGCGTGAAATCTCGGTTAAATGTAGTATTTCGAGATAAATTCTTATTGGCCACTTTCAACGCTGAATGTACGCAATAAAAGTATCGAGGTTTCAAAAAGAATCCGGACGGATTTTTTATACGGTTACTATATGATGATCGATAAGATAAGTATCGATCGAACGGCCAGGATGACTATTCAAAGTCCGAATTAAATATTTACTCACGCTCAGAAAGAGGTCGAAAACGCATGATTCACCTCGTTGCACAATATGCGAACGCGACGTATAGATTTTTCGATATGCGTACGTGAAAAATACAAGACAATATATAATAATACAGAAATTTCACGCTCTTCTTTGATAGAATTAATATTAATTTTAAAATTACTTGAAACATCACACATAGATAATACGATAAGTAATCTATTATCAAATATAGACTTATTTTATATCATTTGTAAAATTAACAAGAATGATTAATAATATCTGAAATACATGTATCTCATAAAATTCTCTAGCTCCGCAGATAATTTCAGATAACGAATGTGAATAACAATTAATCATCGCCGATAACTAATTGGGGAGCTTATTTTCAGGATCATGTTCCGCAGAATGATTCGCGCTTCGAAACTATGATAAAATCAACGGACGGGTTTCGTAACTTTACAAATACAGGTCTTTTAAAAAATATGTGTATACGACAGTAAAAGTACCCGCGTAAAATAATACGGTTATTTATATTATTTATATTATATTTATATTATTTTGTTTTGTTTTTGTATTCATATACTGTCTCATTTTTCTCTTTCATAAAATTTCAGAAAACGTACAAAAATAAAGAACTGAGTTTCATAACAAATTTAGTGCGCATTGAGATCTATAATCACGAGTATGCAGACGTGTAATATTATAATTACGGAAAATGATACATCGGGGAGTGCCCATCAGCATTAGTCTAACATCAGGAAACATGACGGAGAACGGAAATAACAAATTACAATATTATGAAATACACAATATAATACGAATATACAGAAAATTCATGCGCAGAGCTATACGGAAATCATGAGGAAGATATCTTTCATTGTAAAAATAAAAACTCAGCATAGATAATTCTTGAGCGGGGGCAACTAGCTAGAATAATCAATGTTAGAAATATTCAAAAAAGATAATCCCTTTTTAACAATAGAAAGAATTAAATAAATTTTCTCTAATCTGACAATAAGAGAAATAGTAATTCTTTTAATTATTTTTATACAGACCCGATATTATTATTCATGATTTAATAGATGTAATATATTAATTTGCGAGAAACAATATTTCAATAAAAAATGGAAATTGGGGAAGTTAATTTAATTTATAAATAGGATTATCTGATTCTCAAAGGCTGGCAAATCGTAATCCTATATCCTTTTCTCGGAATATAATCGCGTTGACAGCAAACATATCGCTTAGATAACATTTCGCTATATAATTAAATATCAATAATAATCAGAAACAAACATGTCACGAAAATAATCGATAAGATGACATATGATATTCAATGCTATCTGTAAAAAAAAAAAAGATTATACCGACATTCGCAACAATATTAGATTAAAATGTCAGAATTTTAACTGCACGAAATTTACAATTATTTTTTTAATGCAAATTACAATCACATCGTTTATTAATCCCATTTATAATTTCCAGCGTACATTATTTCGTAAAAATTATTTATTATTCTAAGAAATTCTGTGTTGCAAATTATTTTGAAAATAAGATCTGTTACTTGTGTTCGGAAAATCTCGTCAATTTATATCTGAGAGAAACGTCGTTTTAATTAGGCCATTATAATCCGCCTTCAATGTTAAGTAGCTTTTCGTATCTATTGCCGGATAAAACATTCGCCTTCGCGAATTGTTTCGTAAGATTGTCGAATATATCAGTTTTCTTGAGCACACCTAATATGCAGCCATGTTGCACAAGTTTGCATAACTAATCGGGAAATCGCAAAATAAATAGTAACGGAAACGGTATCTTGGTTGTATGTCGCGGCTTTTGATAGAAGAATACGCAAAAAACGACACAATTATGCGCGCAACCGGAAACGTATACATAAGCACTACAATGAACGAGTAACATCGAATATTTTTTTGTGGATTTTTCTTTGTAATTTATATCAAGAACACAAAGAAGCTCGTGGAGCATTGTTATATGTGTTTGTGCACGCGCAATTTTTATTATTGAATATGTTAAAAAAGAGAAATTAGAACATTGTCATATATAGCGAACTAATTCATTAACAAAAATACATTTATGTTTTATATCGAAGCATCGAACAATGTTTTTTACATGTTTTTACATGTTGTATAACAGCAAGATCTCATCTAAATATGATAGCTACTTATCTAAATTAATAGAGTTGTTTAATTAAATTAATAATAATGACTTAGCATAACATGATGTGTCCTTTCCCGCATAATTATCCAAATAACTCCTAGTTGCTTTATCCATATTTGAACAATTAAAAACAATGCTATTATTAAATAATCAACTAAAGTATAAAATAAGAAAAAAATTGAAAAAACCTGATCTTGATGATAAAAAAAAAATAGATAAAAATAAATCCTGATTATAAAAAATGAGATAAGTAACATTTATATGCCCGTCATGTGATCAAAAGAATCTAACGAAGTTACATCATTCATACTTACGAATAGTTCGAAAATATTCATCGATTCATGATAATGAATAAGTGTCGATGATCAATTAATTTGTTAAACAGAATATTCTTTTTGCCTTATCGAGACAGCTTCGAAACAATTGTGCCTCGAATAAAATATGAATAGAAAATTTACATATACAATAATACTTTTCAACATATCTCATTGCAATGATATATGGCCGTTTATCTCTCGGCGAGTAACTATAATTAACGAGACTAAACAAAGATGTTTTGTAAAGGAAATAAATCGTGCATTCCGAAAAATTAATTTGCGAAAACGAGTCAGAGAAAACGTGCTATGAGAAATGGATAAAATCATTCTCAGGAAAGCAATTTTATCTTTCTCTTGCAATTATCTTGACCTTTTCGTGACGTTTCAGATTCTCTCACAAGCAAATTCATGGATGTCAAAACGCGTGTTATTGTGTACAAAACTTATCAATCGTGATTTTTTTAAAAAACAAAACGCACAGAAAACGAAAACACGGTAGAGATAGATTTAACACGGTTAAGATTTTTCCGAAAGAATCGAACGAGCTTTAATTTTCCAATGGGAGATAATAAATATAGAAAACGAAAAGCGTGTAAAATATCTTCAAAACTTCGGATTCATTATTTTCGGATCAAAAATAAGATTCCCGGCAAAACAGAAATTGGAGAACATCTCTGATTTCTAAAGAAAATATGTATAAACAATTCGATATATATAATTAAATCTCATCATAAGGAAATCTCGATTAAAAATTTTAAATTTATTTCGATGGAATGATCATAATGTATAATATCAATAAATATTATAGTGGCCATTAATAGCGATGATAAATTAATCTTGACATGTTTCTTGATTACAATTTCGCTCCTCATTAATTTATGGAAAATTTCTTACGCGATCGATATATTCATGCTTCTTTTTTGTTATGATAAAAGATTATCTCGCGGCAGGAAAAAAATGTTTTTCTTCGGTCTATCGCTGCTGCTAAAGTTCGCGTATCGTTGCATAGCCAAACAACAAGATCATGTCTGCTAATTTTAGCCACTCTGTATATAAGTGTCTGTTTACTTCTACGAAATAAATGCATCTATCGTCGGTACACGACAGACGGATAAATAAATGCAAACGAGGCGATATTAAATTACGTATAAACCTCAGCGAACAAGAACATTGATAAGCAAATACAATGTCACAAGTTACCACAAATCAATTACTGAATTAATCTAAATAGATTTTTTTCTTTTTATTATTAGAATTATAAAAATCTATTCCAAGTGTAAGATGTGAATATGATTATGCCAATATTATAATCAAATAATAAAATTATGTATTTATGTCGAATGTATTTTAATTGAAATAATATTAAATATTACGCCAACTTTTAAAATAATGATCTACCAGTGGTATTTTTTTCTTCGGTGCATATATTAAATCGTATATTAAATTTACGACCACAGATTACAGATTAGAAAAGAGAGAAAACATTTAGCAATACCGATAATATATAAAATGCAGGATTTTACGAC